TCCATGGACTTATATATGACTCCCCATTAACAAACTGATAGTTATCGGTGCCATGCCGTATGGCATGAGAGCAACCCCGCCACTGTCCTGCCTAACCCCATCAACCCACTACTAGACAACTTCCACCGTAAAAGTCATCTAACGCGAATCTTCCTCATGAACAACAACAACCACTTTCAAGCATGTCGTAACGCAATCACCACTCGTAAGTTCTATAGCATATCCTCTCAGCCGCTACTCCCCGCTCTCTGAAAGCACCGCACTCGGAAGGATTCGACTACATTCAGCAGTACCTCCCCCGTGGGCGTTATATGAGAACCACCTCTATGGTGTCTGTCAATACTGCTATCCGTACCACCCAGCAAGGGAGGGCCCTCATCGTCCGACTCCACCGCCACCTACAAGCACAGCACCTTTGGACTAGGGACACCCCAAGACCATCTACAGTGGACAAACTCGGCTGATCTTCCTGGTGCTTGCTCCCTCGAGGAGGCCTACCAGGACGCTCCCGATAGTTGCCGCCTTTATCGCCATCGCTCTTGCCCGTTGACCGAGATGGAGGCGCAAATTTCGAAGAGTAAGAATACAGTTTACCTGCACATTGCCAACCTCACGGACCACTGTAATATGATAGCCCTCCTCACTCTTGCTAGGTGACCAAGACAGGCCCTCTCCCTCCAGCAGGGCCCCTGCCCCTCGTGAGCCCATCATCGTACGCAACGAGCTGCTCTGACCCTGTGGAGCCTCCAAGCACTGAAAACACTCATCCATCTCGCTGAAGCATGCAGCCACTACCAGTGTCGGAAAATATGCACGTGTGTGCAACAGTATGAAAATTTCGAAGAAATTTCGGAAAATTCTACTTGGTTTCTGTACACTTCTACCCTAATTCGTATATTAGTGAGAAAATAACTGAGCTCAGTTGAGGAGAGCAGACATATATTCCTCCAACACTGACCACTACCTGTAACGAGGCTTGCGATAGCATCCTAGAGTGCTGAAGTCGCTGCAAACACCGCATCTCCTCCTCCTCTAAAGCAGCCAGCTCAGCCTTATCAGCTTGGGCCCGAGCCAGGACAGCCTACACCGACCAAATAAACCATCTCATGGACACCTCCAACACTACAGCTCGTTTCCGCTGAGCTTCCTCTCGGACCATACGCTGTTTTTTCTCTTTCTCCGCTTTCGCCTGACCGCAAGGCTCTTCCCAGCCAACCCCGTCCAGTGCCCACCTGCAACTTAGCCTCAAGCGACGCGCGGTGGATCGCCACAGCTCTCTCGGACTTGGCAGCTACTTCCCGAGCCTGAAGGGTCCACGACCGTCCCTCCCGCTCCGCCTGATATAGTCCCACCTGCTCCAGGTGCTTCATTCGTATGATTTCCGCCCTCTCCTTCCTAGCTTCCCGTGTGGCCTCCCTCTTTGCTGCCAAAGTGCATGCCTTGTTCTTGAGATGCTGATAGACCCATCAGGCCTACCTCCCTTATTTCGAATCTACCTGCTCTTTGATGGTATCTAGACTCGTCTTGATCTCGAGGGCCCGTCTAGAGTTCTCTGCCTCTCGCCGCTTCCGCACCTACAACGTTAACAGTCCGGCCGCCAACCCCTCCTCCGACTAACACACCCGTTCGAGCTGGATGAGACTTTGCTTTTTCTGCTCAGCCAACTCGCGGCCTTCCTCGAGCTTCTTGGCTTTCCGTCTGACCTCGTCCAAGTTCCGCCATATTTTACTCTCCTCCCTCTTGAAATACCTACCATTCTCACTCGAACGCATCACGAAATGTAATCAATTCGCCCATCCTAACTATTACTAAAAATGCATCCTAGACTACCGAAACCCCTCACAGGACATGGCTAATCCCAGCGCACTAACCCAAGTGGAACCTATCCACGTTGCGATGGCGCTCTAACTACTACCCGAATCCTTTGAAAACATGCCCCATGGTGCTCCTATTAAAACCCCCACCACCCAAAACTACGCTATCCGAGCCTTCACGGCTTGCTTCTCAGCCGCTATGCTTCGTTGAAGCCTACAGGAGTCCGATAGACTCAGCTGCTGATCCATGAACTCTCAGAAACAACACTACACACGTCTGACACGATGGTCTATACGCAACGTTCATCAACCTCACCCAGGGTCGACACGACCGACCCCCCCTTCTTCAACACCAGCCTGGGCGCGCGCTACTTACGGTGAGATGCATGAAAGTTGCACGAACAACAATTGCTCCTATAATATGATCGTCTACCGTCCTGTTCCTCCTCAGAGAGAAGTCGTAGCAGACTTCGCACTCAATAAGTGCCAAGGTGACGAAAGCCGTAAAGCTTCTTATGAAGACTGAGCTACGTTCGTATGCAAACTCAATGAGCGGAGCGAAGTGATTTTCTTTCCATGAAATTGAACAGTTCGGAGAACTGCTGTGTCCGCGGATTAGAACTTCACCGACACACATAAGCACATAAAAAGTTGCATAGTAAGAATCGCACTCGCAGCCTCCCTCACCACTCGACAATTTTCTATGAACTTGAGAAAAGATTATGAAAAAATAACGGCACGGGTGTTGCCGTAGATCAGGCAAGCCCAAGCAATAGGATGAATTATACATCATACTGAATGATAGGTTTATATCAAAGCTAATGAAATCGTCTCCATAGGTTAGTCTTCCCTACGGACTGCCAGAAATGCGAGCCTGCCTCGTTCGAATGCTTCGGAGTGTATCTGAGCAGGAGAGAACAATGCCCTGAATGGTCACTCACTGAGGCCCACAGTGTTCCATCTTTCTCAGATTTTCTGATTCGTGCAGTCAACTTGCTGATCTTGTGCCGCTCCTCTCGATTCTTCTCAGCCCTCATAATAACCACACCTGAGCAATGTAGGAAAATATGCGCATGTCCAACTACATATGTTGATGACAATATGGAAAAACTTGGGAAATTTTGGAAAATTCTTGTTGGTTTCTATAATTTGTGAGGAAAGTCCTGCGCTCAGCTGAGAAAATCAAACATATATTCCTCTACGCTCGCACAACACTGAGTAACAGCGATATACCCCAGCCCACCTGGTGATGAAATTAAATCGCATGTTTTCTTCAGGTTACGAACTCGCGGTATTCCTTCCGCGATCTTCATGAAACGCTCCTCGTCGTGGAATGGTGCGGCTTGGTTCAGCGGCGAAAGGGCTCGACCAAAGCGGCAGAATTGTGAACGCTGTGTTATACTGTACAAGTAGCGAACAGATATCATCGAAGGACCTGAGCCATATCTCTCTGAACGCATAAGGAAAGACCTGTACCCTCTTCCGAACATTGCAGGAATAGCGCTGTGACGTTGCAGTCAGACTCTGGACGATAGACCCAGGTAGCCTCTATGAATTCAACTGGTTTTATTAATGAGAACAGCAGCCAATACAACTGGTCGAAGGGCTCCTGCTCAGGGACAACTCGTCGGAGAAGGTCTGGAGACAATACCAGTAACAAGACTGGAAACTCTCAAGACTCCAACTCACCTCCGCGGACTTCCCCAGCGATTCGGGCATTAACTTCAATAAGGCACACGTCTTCGCCTACCACAACAATCCCAACATACCAACAATTGAATGCCCCTACCGCGTAGCATGAGTTCTGTATGAGCGGCACCGTTACGGACACCTGTAGCATCCAACACCTGGAAGGCGTAGTTCAGCACTTGGCGCGGACACTCCGACCACGATACTGATTCCTACAGTAACCCTAGGGTGAGTTCGTATCACAGGTGAGTTCACACGCTAACCTGTATGTCATAGAGGCACTCAGTCGAGCCAGGTTTCGCTTTGGGCGTGCCACGCCAGATGTCAGAGACGAGATGATGACCATCTGTCGAGACTGTGTTGACAATGAACTCGTAACAAGATCGACAACTTCTCCCGGCGGCCTCAGCAACACCCGAGGATGATGAATCCCTGCCATAGGAAACGATGGTGACCCGAACGATTAAGGGCAGATCGTGCATACAGATCGTCACAGTTATCGCCAGGTTTCGCCCTCTTCCTCCTCAGACTAGTTCGCATAGGTTCTTCCTCCAAAGCTCCCAGATACCTGCGCGATTGATTTCCCAAAGTCAGATGAGGCACTTACTCCTGGACGACCATTTTCTCGTTGGTCAGCCTCTCGGCATTCACTCGATACATATTATCATCAAATGCGTCCCGAACTTCCTCCTCTGCGACGCACCTATCCAGCACAGCAACGCTCCTCCACAGCCAGCCTTGTGAGGCCCTACACACTAACTCCGTCGCAGCCCCCACTGTTCGCTGGCTTCACGACCAGCGGGGCTTCTTTTGTCGGCCGCCTCCACTCGAGGGCCTGGGCAGCCGATGTGAAACACCGACTTTCGCAATGGCGAAGGCCCTTTGCGGCTAAGCACTTCTGCATGAGGGCCTTATCAGTCTGAAGACAACCCAACTTCTCATTGGTTCAATACTCATTGTTGTGACCCGATGTTCAGTAGTTAGAGGGTTGTTGCCGCAATATGGTAGTCCTAAAGCCGCACAAATACGGTCTGCGAAGGGCACGAATGCGTCCAACATTGGAACTACTCCGAGGATCTCCGCTGTCTGTGACCTATAAAGAAGCTTCTCTCGGGAACACGACCATGGCGCCGCACAAGTATTTGGAGTGATTGCAGTCATTCACAAGCAACTAGTATATAGTTGTCTACTGCCTCTAGCCAGTGTTGAGATATATGACCCTTCTTCTCAGCTTGGAAACTTCCTCACTAATTATAGAAGTTTGTATTCGAATCCGGGTAGAAGTGCTCAGAAACCAACAAGAAATATTCAAATTTCTTTGAAATTTTCATCTAGTCACCGACACATGTAGTTGACCATGTGCATATTCTCCTACACTGTTACTCCTACCACAGGGAAATATATCGATCAATCACAAGGCATGAGCATCTCAGATGTGTTTCCCACAAGTGAGTTCTCACCGTGTTATGAGGTCCTTCTCGAGAGAGTCTAATACTCCACTATAATCGACTACACCGTTTGCCGAGACCTGATTGCTGGGCACCGCATAGGTCCTACCGGGCGGCCCCCCATCGACTCGTCCCTGATGCACGCATGCACAAGATGCTGCCACGACCGAGGGTGTAATCTCACCTGAGGGCTTGTCACGACTCTGGCGTTTCTATAGATATCATGTGGCGAGATCCAGACTTCTTGCACATCGGGGAAATGCTGGTCAGAAGGAGATCATCAGGCACTGAGCGAACGTGGTGCCTCCTTACATTTTGTAGATGCTTCTTTATCATAGTCCTCTTCCCCAGAGATCCACCAATGAGTATGATCTCTTTCTTCTTTTTCTGGCCAGCTATACCCTCCTCGCTAACGCTTATAGGAGATGATAAAGTAGAAGTGGACAGGGCGGCTGCTGCCGAGGACGGGGATATCGTATCGCTACTGCTACTGCTGCTGCTAGCCTCAATCACAGGCCCGGTGAACGCTGCTGCAGCTGCTTGAGGGCTGCTTATGAATGACCGCATATTCACGGCTAAATCGCTGTGCATATTACTGTTAGTGATGTCGGTAGTATTTTCGAAGCAATGAATGATATTAAATTCCAGACCACGATATTATTTTTATACTCTAATATTCTCCTCGGGGCAGCCTTACCCCGACTCAAGCGTTATAGTTCACATTAGTCACAACAGGATGATGAATGTGTTCACACAAAACTCCACGAGAAGAACTGCTTCAGCCGAACGAACAAGTATTCACTATAGTAAACCTCTCCCATGACAATGTGGCACGCAAGAGATCATATCGGGTCGTTAGAAATTATCAAGTTAGTGGTCTTCACAAAAATGATGCACAAGTGTGTCAACCTAGACAAAGCGTGGCAATGGCAATAGCGACTGTATATATCATCATCAGGGGACTCCAACGAACCCGTCCAGTAGAAGAGATACGTCCTGTTGCTCCTCCATAGGCGGTACTCGGCTGCTCTCACCGTATCGGCGGAGGTAACCCTGATGCTGCAGAATGTCCGGCATAGGCCCATGAATCTCGAACTGTATAGTCCACTTCGCTGAAGAGAGAGAGCATCCGATCGGTCCTATCTTACTCACACATTTCACGACTTGATAATTATATAGCAGTTATAGAAATAAAAAAAAGGAAAAAAGAAAACCAAAAATGGAAGAAAAGGAAAGAGGAAAGAATAAATTGAAAAAAATGCATAGCGGTTAAACGGGCATCCAAATGGTCCTATCCTGCTCATACGACATTTCACTAGTGGTATAGTAACTATAGATTGAGCCCACCTAAAAAGAGCGCTGCTATTATGATGGCCGATATGAGTAACGTCTTTTTCGCCGCCGCACTCGATATCCGCTGCATTTCCCTGGCCTGCGCATCGGGGTCTGGCACTACTCGATGACCTAAACCGAAGTGATACATCAGAGAGTCATAAGTGACAGCGCTACTGCCACCATCGGGGTCATGACCAGCTAAGAGAGGCTCATTTTGAGTGCCGGCGGTCATAGCAGCATGCCGTGCCGCCAGCATGAATGATAAAGCAGCCATGGGAACGTTTGGTGAGAGGAACCCTCACTCTACCGTAGTGATGACAAACAATAAATTTCCTACGATGAAGATGACCAACGGAGTTACGAGAAAGGCCTCAAACGTGTTCAGTGGTGACACCGAGGAGCCTGCATATCGAGTGCGAACTCCATCAGTTCATTCTCAGCGAAATTCATTTAGCAGCGTCGGCATATATGTTCGTGGAGATTCTCCACGTCGTTCACTGAACGAATCAGGCGCTATGCTTCAGCCGGGCATATCCCACCACTCCGCCGTTCTGACCTCCACTACAACACAACCAGAATCGGCAGTATATGAGAGTAACCTAGTATCACACAGCAATCGAGAGACGGTCTTCGGCAAACAAGTAGCTGAGACAGAGCCTAAGAATTACCGCGTCTACTGCTGGTTTCTCATAACGTAGGGTACGATGAACTCTCGCAGGAAGTATGAGTGTACCTGAGCCAACTCCTATAATACCCTGAGACGCCCAGTGACAGACCCGGCGACCACGTTAATCTCACAGCAGTGAAATTCCTCAATTGTTTCCTTATAGTATCGCTAAAGCTGATCAGCGCATTCTGGAGCTTCCCCAGTGTTGGAGGAATACATGTTCGCTCTCCTCAGCTGAGCTGAGCTCAGGAGTTTATATACGAATTAAAGTAGACGTGTTGAGAAACCAATGAGAATTTCCCGAAATTTTCATATTTCACCGACACATGTAGTTGACCATGTGCATATCAAATTGCTTGTCGACATCTTACAGTATGATCATCAGTGAGCTCAGGATGGAAGCATGTCACCAGAATGTTATCCTCCTTGGCCGCACATATCATAGGACCCTCGAATGACGGATGATGAATAGTGCCTACAATGCGAGCAGCAGATTCTCAAATGGTCCGGAAATGTTCAAGGCAGCAGATCTACGATGACTCAACCTCCTATGAAACGTCCTATTCATTCCAAGTATTACTAATACTTCATTTAAATGCAATACCACTGTAAGGAAGGTGTTGTTGTGACGATTTCCGTCCCGTATAGGATTGATACGTATGTTACCGGTTAATATTCAATCCAATACGCAAACAACACTCGTAAATTCCACCCCTACACTACCTAATACAGTCACCTTCTCAGAGTCCACATCGAGGATTGCCGGTGCTCGGATGAAAACAGCAGGAACATCAGCAAACACCTGTACAGGGTAGAAGCGTCAACTAATAACAGAGATCAACAACCACTCACGCAGCCCTGATCAATGGTCGCCTCGAAAGAATTCAACTGACGGCCGAAGTAGTTGCGGGACACTTTGATGTCCATAACGCCGATGGGGTTACCGTACCTGAGGGACAAACTCTGATCTCGCTCAATACCACACCTCGCGCTCATCCTTGCTCTTAATGCAGTAGTTATAACTAAGGCTTTCCCAAGAGAGTGAATTCATAGACGCTGATTCAATTCCCCATCACCACGACAAACAGAATCCCTTGTGATTTCGATGCACTTCGGGTCAATACGGTATCCAAAGCTCCCTTCTAAACGCGAGTGACCGAGATAGGAAGCAGAGAAATATGCACATGCTCAACCACATGTGTCAATGACAATATAGAAACTTTGAGAAAATTTCTAGAAAATTCTAATTGCTTTCTAAACACTTCTACCCCCATTCGTAAATATAAACTCCTATAATCAGTTCGAGAAACTCCCGAACTCCGAGGCTGAGGAAAGCGAATATATATTCCAACACATATCTCACTTGCATTCAGTGTGCTCCACTATTGCACCAGAGGCATTCCTACTACTCTGGCAAACAGTCTTGGCTAGGAGGATGGTACCAGCGCAGGTACCCCAGACGGGACGCCCAGAAAGGGCAAAGTGCCTAAGGGGAATGCATTATGGTGCAAGCCGCAAAATGAGTATCAACCATACGAAGAACGTGTACTGCACTACAGATGAATAGCATACCCTAATGTTGTGGAAACTGACAGCAACACCCCATTGAATAGCAAACTTGACATAGCCGTAAAAGGAAAGTAATACATACTCTTTACACATATCAAAGAGCAGTTAAATATTCACTATAGGGTAAATCGCTTGAGAAACCTTGATAGAGCGACGCATACAAAAACGAGAGTTTATAATATACCACAGAGCATTGAAAAAAACCATCTGCCGAGATTTTCTAGTACCTCAATCCCTCAATGATATCATCTTCTCCACCGTCAGAAATTATTTTCATAGCTGTTGACTCGCCACCGGGTATGATGATACCATCACAGGCGTTCAACTCGGCAACAGTACGAACCTGAGCCGACAGATTTACCGCGCGCCACGAAATTGACTATAGAGTACCTCGCATGGAGTGATGGTTACTCCTTTGATATCGAGCTTACTCAGCACGATGCAGTGCTCTGAGAATGCCCCCTGTAGAGCGAGAACACCAACACGAACCTGCACCCCAAAATCATCATCCCAACCATCGAGGAATATCCCCTCATACTACCTGAACCCTATCATCACTTCCCTTCGTTGCCGCCCTCGGTACAGGAACAAGATTGGAAGGGCACACGTTAGAGGCAGCACGAGACATGAATACGAACGAGATGATCAAAAGAAAACAACAACTGTGAAGGAGTTCGCGTATCATAGTGCCACTGAAAATAACGCAAGTGGGTATTCCTCCCACATCGCCGAATGCTCGAATGAACACTCGAAACCACTATACCAGGAATAACTCTTCTAGGCCCCCGAACTAAGTTCCCTATTCGTACTAACACAGAGTGCATCCTACTAGCGATCCTCCTCGTGTTGCTATCATGGTCCCTCTCCGAGATCACACAATATGCATCACTTCCTGGATCAGGACGAACATCTGAAACTCTTTTTCCACCCAAGATGACCATCTCAACCCGAGTGAATAAACCTGCTCCCACTCCTACTACTAATCATAGATCCCATCCCCTGATGAGTCGGCACTCCCTCACCCTGGCCATCGGAGGCACTCCGCTGCCCCTATGCAGTGTCCTTGATACCGAGTAAGTGTAGCCAAGCTACCATAAGGAAGAACTGACACCCCCATTTTCCATGTAGAAAAAAACGTCCACCCACACACAACAGCATTCTAACTAGGGAAATATCGTTCAAACAGTAGACGAGGCGTTCTCTTGATCAGTCGGCTTAGCACCATCTAGTACCTCACTTAGAGCTTCCACCAGATTCACCGGTACCTGACCATGTACGCCTATTCGTGATTCCTCCTGTTTTCTTGACGTGAATAAACTCTTGAATTTGAATACTACCTCAGCCTTCCTCTGCGGATCACTATCAATGATTTGTCGCAGCCTCCTAAGGTCCGCTTCCATCGCCATCGTAGCACACTGCATAAGAACACCACCACTACTACCACTCACAGTAACAGTACTACTCCCACCTCCGTTTCGAAGTTGTTCGTCTCAAACTCCAACTCCTCCCTATGCAACGAGCGTAAGACCTGACGAACATCCACTGTATTACACATAACCTCACATCTCGAAAATCATCACGAACGTCGCGCCCCCCCCCAGCCGAATATTCAAATACCATCTCGATTACATTGCCGTGGCTCATCTGGTCAAGTTTGCGTCGTTTCTGAATATCCTCCACTTCCTTCGCCAGAGCTTTCCTCTTCTTAACTAGCGATTGCTCAAACGCCGACACCTACACCGTTCGGACCGCTGAACCTTACACTCTATATTAACCCCTACCTGTAGCTTTCCATGAATCCACTGAGGCACGGAGTACTTCGTCGCGACATCCAAATACTCATTGTTCTCTGCCGTGTCAACTATGCTCACCTACGAGTGCACTATTCTACTCAACGACTAAGGAGCGTATTTTTTTCTTAGGCAAATTCAAAAAATCTGTGTTTCTCATTAACGAATAAGAGTTTTGAGCTGAAACTTTAACAGGATATACTTATTATCATCATACATCACATGTTGAGTCGAAACGGTCATGTTCGGAACGGTTACTGATATATCATGGCGAGCGAAATAATCACCCCCGCACTAGCAACAATACAGCTATAATTCTTAGAGCAGAACGGGATAGATAGAAAAGGCCGATATATACAGATGAGTTAGAAGCGATACATTAGCTAAGGGACAAGACTATGTAGCTATTTACTGAAGACTGTGTATTGGGACAGTGCACGAGTGAATACGATAGGAAATCTCCTAGACAAAATTCGTATCAGATTCTCGATAATTTCACGCTTTCAACTACTACCTTAGTTTTATCCCTGCATTCTTCCCAGGCTTCCACCGAAGAGGCCTTGGACGGTAAAGGCAAATGAGCTCGACTGTAGTCAGACGGGTTTATCTGAGCCATAACCATCACATAGTATTCGCCCCACATTGTTATTACCCTCTCACTGAGGCCTTCCTTCGGCAGCTTTCCCCCGTTAGCCTTTATTTTCTCCATAGCCTCCTTCACAAACGGACTACTATCCAAATAAGGGCATGAGGGCAGAGGTAACAGCTCCAGGAAGTCCCTACCAATATCGGGAGAATATGTTCGCTTCCCTCAGCTGAACTTGAGATCATACACGTTCACATACGAATCCGAATACAAATGTACAGGAATCGACGAAATTTTCCCAAAATTTCCTCAAAATTTTCATATCGTCAGCAACATATGTAGTTGGCCATGTACATATTTCCCCACACTAACCAACATACTGCTAACACTGCCTCCCTTGTGCCGAGTATGCCTATGTATATAGCGCACGCCATGAAACGGTTGCTAGTCGGCCACTATTGATTGAAATAAGACAGACTTTCCCAATTTCAAGGATTTGAGTTCAACCATGCCTTCCGAAGAAGAGGACAACAGCCTACCGTGAGGGCTCGAAAGTGGCAATCTCCTTCTGAATCATCTCCTCCACCCTTGCAAAGTCCTCCTGCCCAAACGGATCAATAAAAGGCAGTGCATCGATCAGCTGATAGTTGGGGATAGACTGAGTACCAACGGTCACTCTAGAGAACGACCTGTGACCACCACTACCTGGTAGAGATGCTCCGACAGATGTAGTGGTCCATCACCAACGGCCAACATCTTCTCCTCTGCCATTCCAAGTGAGAACTTATATAACTGAACAACCGCCTCTAACAGTGTAGGAAAATATGCACATGGTCAGGTGACATGCGCTGGTCACAATGTGAAAATCCTGAGGAAATTTCGGGGAATTTTCTTCGTTTTCTGTACCCTTCCACTCGAATCTGCATGTAAGCTCCTATAATTAGTAAGAAATGTGCTGAGTTAAGCAAACATATATTCCTCCAACACTGATCTCTTCGTCGCTACTCCTCCTCAGCCGCGCACTGGATACCTCCTAACTCGACACTCAGTAGTTTATAACCAAAAATTGATGATACTATCATGTGAATACTCCTTCTTGGCAAGGACTTGCATTTAATGCCTATCCCCAGCCTGTGCTGCTGCTGAACTTGACGTTCAGTGGTGACATAATAGGCCTGCCTCTACCCACTAGGCCAGTCCATGCCGCTCGCCGGCACCTTGTCCATACCCAACGCTTCTTTGCGTGCTTGCAGTTTCCTACACATACATAGTCTCACGTTTGAAGGCTGAGACTAGTGAACTCACCTGTTCGTGTGCTCCCAGTGAAAGCCCGCCTTTTGATAAGCATACCGCCTCTCCCACCAAATGTAATTGGGAATAAACCAAAAACCGGTCCAGACTAAAATAGAAGGACAGATCAGACCACTTAGCTGATGGTCACAACCTACACACGAACCACATGATATTCGTATAGCACCACTTCTCAGTGAACACCATCTTAGGGAAGTGCCACAGACAGGTAAAATAGTCATAACTTTTATCGCGGCCATACCTGCCCACAACCATCCATCAACATTCCCTACTACTATCCTCATCACCTCTGCTGATTATGAGGAAGGACCACGTACTCGGGGAGCTCACGACCGTGAGCTCCACCGAGACGTATTGCAGCGCGAGCAGCTACCCTAAGCATCAGACTCGAAATACCCAAATACCAACTACCTAGCAAGCGACCGCGCGCGCCCAACTAATCGATTACGATATTATTCACAAAACACTAGTTCAAGTGCAGAAACCCGACTTCGCTTTGATGTTATTCTGGTATGTCATTGATACCATATATCTGAGAACCAAAACATATATCTTTGCGCACAGCGAAGATTCGAAGATACGCCCCTGGTCTCTCACCTGCTTGAAGTCCCACTCATCGCATCACACAAAACGATGCTAATACTACTACGACCAGGTCCATGTATTACCGACTCGAATGCTACTATGGACTACATCTACCCTACGAAGTGAGCACTATATTGTCCTGAAGCTCTCGCTAGCAGGTTTGAAAGAGATGTTCACTGGAATGCTCCACCGAACCACGACTACGACTAAGACACCGTTGCCGGTTGAGTTAGCAACTAGCGTCACACGTAAGGAGGACAAAAAGGGGGCAAAGGCGGTGGATGGTCCAAGCCTGTGCCTGGACCTGTACGTGATATCACAGAAACGCTGCCAACCATAGGAGACCACCGCCACTACCCTGATAATGATGATGATATTAAAAAGAAAATTAAGACCTGGTTACTCAGCGACCAAACTACTCCTTCGTCGTCGATGACGTTGATGATAATAGTTTAATGATAACACACCTATAGGAGGTGATAATAGATATACGCATAACGAGATTTCATAGGTTCATGATAGCGTAACACTGGTGGACGCTATAATACTGGCCAGCTACCACATTTCCGTGGCGCGTGACGGAGACTCATTCGCAGTAGCCAGGCTGCTGCTGGTAGTGCTGCTCTCAGCAGCACTCGTGAGGCGGGAGCGCCCTCCGTCCATGCCCAAGGGGACCCACGAATCCCCCTTGAAGGGCCTGTAGCATAACATAGTCTATAGCAGTCGGTGATAGTTTACATTCTTGTTCTCCAGCCGTCATGGTAGTCTACGTGCTGGTGCAGAGGATGACCGATTGGGCTGCAGGACAGATCAGAATCGAACGCCTCCTCATGGTGAAGGCAATCATCCCCCAGAAGCGCTGCCACCTGCAAATTACATAGAGCATACCACTCCTCTCTGAACTCACCTCGCTTGGCAACAAGCACCTGCCTATTCCAACAGTATGTTGATCATCAATAGATGACCTCCTATCAGCACCTCCACTATCCGATGGGGGACTCGGCGCACTAAACCAACGTCACCATACGCCCTTCCCTTCACGCGAATTCCTGACCTTGAACTAGGCGTGAACTCAGGAGCGTTGGCATTGAGCCCGTTCATGAACATACTGTCACCATTGGGCCCCTCGACTGAGCTCGGCAGGGGAAGCCCCAGCGCCGTCTTCTCAGCCCGTACGAAGTACACTGCACGGTGCTTAGTCTTCTGCCATTTGTTCCACGTCCTATATGTTTGCCACGCCGCGGTCCCACTATGACCCAACTCTCTAATCTGCGATATCGGTACCTACACCACAGAATCATCATCAGTAGGACTCCCATACCACTACTTCCTCGAAATTGTCCCGAGTCGGTGAAGAGGACGTGGGCTTCACATGGGCCAGTATCTCCTCTCCCAATATGGCCGTCGGCATATCAACTTCGACATCCAGTTGCAGATAATACGCCCCATCCTTAGAATCATACATAATCTTAACCAATTCGCTTGCGCGTGCGTGCACGGACATTCTGCATGATCCAACAGTCCTGCCACTGCTAGGCCTCACATTGGCAGAGCAAGGCACCGGCCCATGCTGACCATAATGAGCGCCCGTGATGCGTTTCAGGAGGTCTCCCACTGGCACCATCACAGTGCCAAGTGCCGAGGTTGTAGATCTCTCATGGAAAGCGCCTCGTTTGGAGGGAGGGTCTACCCAGAAAGGCTGATGATGACCGACCGTGACCGCAGCCGTGGACATAATGGCGAACCTCGGGACAAGATAGTTGGACAGGCTGAAAGCAGCGCGTACTCTACATAACGACAACAGCTGATATTAAGAGAGCTCGACACAACGCACTTCTGAGCATTGAGACAATAAAAGCCGCGCCACCTGATGCAGCACCATAGAGAAATTTGGTAAGATTGAACGATGCAAGATGAGCTCCTTCTCACTGTAACGATAAACACCTCAATAAGGCTGCTTAAAGCCTCAGCAGCAACACAGAGGGAGCCACCATAGTCTTGTGAGAGACATCTAGTGATGATGTAGCTGAGGGCTGTGGTAGTCAGTACCTCAGTACACTATCTACTAACAACAACTTGGCCGAGTGGACTAGACTCGGACCTGTGCGTCGATGACTGCATTAGACGTCGTCTATCATATAATAATGGAGAATTGATACTGTTCAATGTTACACTAGTAGAGTGATAGCAGTAATAGCAGTTCTATACAAGAAGAAATGGGAAAATGACACAAAACGGTCACTGCTACTGGCTGGATGCTCACA